CCTTGCCCTTTCCATACATGCGGCCCATGGCTCCTACTACCTACCTCGCTGCTGCTCGTGCCTGCCTGCGACAATAAGAAGGATAGATGCGCACCCTACACAATGGTTTCAATGAAAACCATGAAACCCTACGCTGAGCGACTCGACACTCCAGCGCACGCAGTCTGAAGTCGAAAGCGTTCCAGAGTGAGTTCTATAGATTCTAGTCAATCATAGGCAATCTGTGTATCTGTATCAGCATGTATCAGCATGACTCAGCAAGAACTGTTTAATATGGTCGATTCTTATCACGGACTTGCCAAGAAAATCATCTACTCAACATCCACGAGTCGCACTCGCTTATTTTTGTAGTTTGCAGAGCACGCAGGTGCAGGTCAAAGGGAAGCCATGTGGCCAGTACAAAGCCTCACTCACGCAACCAGTGCTGATGCAGTGGCAGATTGGTACTTGAAAGTCGCAGGCAGGGACTTCACTCGCTTGTAGTATCTGGCCAGGCGATGAATACGGCTTTCCACTAGAATCAAGCGAAACTTGGCATCCTTGTCCTTGCGGTTCTTGTCCAAGTGCTTTCGGATAGACACTGCTTTCTTGATCAAGTAGTACAAATCCTCTGGCAGGGTTGGTGCCAAGCCATTGGTCTTCAAGATTCGCAAGATGTGGTTGCCAGTCACAGTCTTCACCTGAGGCACACCGAAGCTGTCTCGCAAGGTGACACCAATCTGGGAAGGAGTCAGCCCTTTCTTGGCCAGCTTGCAAATATGGTCAGACACATCATCCGGCTTAAGCTTCAGCCAACTTGGTGGAGTTCGCTTGTACGGGATTGCCGAGGAAGCAATGCCCTTGCCCTTTCCATACATGCGGCCCATGGCTCCTACTACCTACCTCACTGCTGCTCGTGCCTGCCTGCATTGAATAGGAAGAAGGCTTTGTTGGTACTTGTTCCTGGAATTCCCAGGAGTCCAATTTAAAACAACGACTAAAAGACCCCAAGTCGAACAAAAGCAAGGTACGTCAGTATATATAGTTGGTCTGCACGAATTGGGCAATCTTGTTCCCTATTGACAGAAAGGCATGGCTTCCAAGTGCTTCCAGTCGTACCATGTTGTACCCAATACAGTATTTAGTAAGGCACTTGTTCCTAGCAGCGAACCTTGTTACTACTAGTAAGGCACCTGTTACTACTAGCGTGGCACTTGTTACTAGTAGCTTCTAATTAAATTCTCAGAATTGAGCTGGGATCCCGAGCGCACATCGACCAGCGGCTGACCAGCGGACAAAACACATCTCTGTCACATGGCTCTGATTACCGCGCCGCCGATGTTGCACACTTCGAGGCCCCCCCAACATGTTTTGCCTGTCAGTTCGATTTGTTTGTTGTGGAATGCTGTGGAAATGGCACAGTTTTTTCCTGTATGATCCATATCACATTCATTAAACAGCCTTGAGGGAGTCATCAGCCGTGAGCGCAGGTAGAACGGCTTCAGCCCACAGAGTGGTAACTCAGCATCGGACATTTCAACACAATGACTGCAGCGACGCCATATACAATGCTGTAAAATGCTCTATACAATGCCAGTGCCACATCAAAATCATGCAATTTCAAAACCCTGCATTTCACGGGTTCACTTCGACCGATCACTCTCTTTCACCCGCACAGTGGACATCCGGTCATGTCCGGGCACGCGTGATTCTTGGCCTGCCAAGGCAGAAACAAAGGACACAGAAACAACGGACACAGCATGAGCCAGCATCTACCGTTCTTATAGGTATACAGTATGCAATGCTATGGTACTTAATTGTCTTTGAATTTCTTGAGCGCACTGGCCATGCTAGTTTGGCACACTTCAGCTCGAGTTCTGAACATTAGGTTCATCGGCTGGATTAAAAAATCACCTCTGCGCCTTCTTTTCGAGGTGCGGTGATCCAATCTGTGGCGAAGTACTGAAGACTTGACTTCAGCTGATTAAATCATTTTTCGCCAAGCCCTTCACGATCTCAACATCTTGAACAATGAATCTGCCAATGTCAACTATATTGTATATATTTGTATATATATATATATACACATTACCGTTAAGCACTTTCTTGGATTCAATCCATCAGGGGTGATGTGGAACGCAAAGGACTAAAGAGTGGCACAGGTGATACATGGCACCAATGTGCTGTGGCCCAGCTGACCTCTGCTCGTTAGAGCAAGTTTGTGAGCCTGGGTCCAGGAGCATACGTAATTGAACAGTTTCGGCAACTTGGCCTGTTGTCCTATGGAAAGCTGAAGTTTTTTTCAACTCCGTTTTGAGCAATCCCATGAAAATTGGTGCCAGGAACAGCGGACCAAGACGGAGTGACTCAAGTGGTCAAAAGTCAAATACACTCAAATCGGTCTGCAAAGTGTCCTCGAAGACTCGACACCCTCCGCAGCAGGTACAGCCGAAACCTACTGATTTCAAATTAAACATGCAAAAGCCCTGGGACCAGTTGGGGGAGTAAGGGTGTCCAGAAGTACACTGAAGAGAAACCAATATGGCAAGCGCAAATGAGTTGCAGGTTCCAAGGATACTCCGTCAGAAGTTCACTCCAAGTCCGAGTCCTGCTGCCTTTGGAAGATAACCCGGGTGCAGGGCCACAAGAAGGTTATCAACTCACCCTGCTCACCAAAAAATAAACGCCAACTGCAGTGGCTCATTTCCTATGAGTAGAGCCTCGTCGCTCAGACGTGTCGACACGTAAATCAGTTGGCTTGCTGGCATCTTCTCCTCAGGCACTTGAAGCTGCTCACTTGCAAACAGCCACACCAGAGGTGGAGCTAGGCAGGGCACTCTAATAGAGCATTAGACTCTGTGAAATTGTGATCCACCGGCATCGCTCGACCCAAGACCAAGCTAGGAACCTGTACTCCAAATGGGGGTTACGTGCCCGCTGAAAAGGGAGTCCGTTCTTGCTTGGGGGCTTGCTGCGGTTTTTGGGATTCACAGTGGTAGCGGAACCCGGTAACGCCCGGGTCTCCTTCCCCCCTTTTGTTGGTTTGGGGTTGACTCCCTTTTTGGTGGGACACTTAGCCCCCGCTTGGAGTTTTGGCTTTTGGAATGGCCGGACAAACTCAGGCTGTTCCGCCATCGGATGGCGATCTAGACGAGCCCGTAGGAGGATTGCCAGCCGCAGGTTCACCTAGTGCGCCCGATGGCATGGGGACGGACCGCGAGGCCTTTCTTCGGTTCCAGAGGTTCCTTCGTCTGGAAAGGGAGCAAGAAGGGCGCGGTCTTCGCGGACGACGTCGTCAGCGAGACGACGAAGAGGAAGAAGAAGATGGAGGTGGCGACGGCCGGGGGTCGGCTGGACCACCACCATCTTGGGACGGCGTAACACCCTTGAGGACTACTTCATCAAGGCAAAGCTATGGATCGCCACAACCAAGGCCAAGGGTCGCTCTCGCGGCCCCTTACTGTTGAAGATGTTGAGCGGCGCTCCATTCGAGCACTACAAACACTGGGCGAAAGACCCAGAATGGATGGCTGATCCTCATGGCGCCGAGCGGCTCCTCAATGACATGGACACCCCAGAGAAGTATGGAGACGATCAACAAGAACACATGCTCACCGCCATGTCGAGGATCACCTACCACCTGAGGCGCCAGCGGAATGAGACCTGGCGAGAGTACTTTGCGAAGTGGGATGGTGCCATTCGCAAGGTCCACCAGCACAAGATCACCCTCCCTGAAGAGTATGAGGGCTTTCTGATGATCAATGGCCTTCAGCTCACCGAGACCGAGACCAAGGCCATGCTGAACTACACTCATGGATGCATCAAGCCAAGCTCCATCAAGAGTTGGCTGAGGAAGAACGAAACTCGACTGTCAGCTGCCGAGTTGGGAGCTGATAAGAAGAAGAACCAGGTCAACTTTCTCACGGAGTTCGAGGGACACCACATCGAGAACAATGACATCGAGGAGAACGACGAGGACAAGGAGGAGATCGATGAACTTGAACAGTGCATCATGCATCTTCAGGACGACGCCGACGGCGACACGGTCCTTAGTGAAGGTGAGGCCGCCGAGATCCTCTCCACCTACGTGCAGCAGAAGAAGACCTACACCCAATCGATCAAAAATAAAAAGGCCAGAGAACTGGCCCGTGGCTACGGAAAGAGACCACCTCCGGGAGGACATGATCGAGGATCCTTCCGGGACAAACCACTTCGACCGGGCTCGTACTACTCGGTCACCATCGCCGAACTTCAGAAAAGAACTCGCTGCCGCAACTGCGGCCAGATCGGACACTGGAAGCGGGACTGTAAGAATCCGCCCCAGAAGAACCCGGACTTGAAGACCAACGAGAGCCACTATTTGGAGAACACCGATGAGGCCTTCTTCATTGGACATCTTGCCGAGGACACGCTGGACTTCGAACAGGACCTGACGATCCTGGAGTCCGACGTCATGAACCTGGCTACGAGGTCTTCTACCAGTACTGAGCGGCATGGAGTGGCGACTCACCTGAGCCCGGCCGGTAGGACCTGGCAGCCAAAGGTTGGCTATGCCACGGATGCTGAACGCCCGTCCGCGTCGGCATACATGGAGAGTGACCTTTTCCGTTCGACCGGTGTTGAACATTTGTTTGTTTTCGAAAACATGTTTTGCAACCTCGTCTCTAAGTCTCCTCAACCTCATGACATGGTGGATGCGACTTGCGCCACCGTCGACACAGGATGCCAACGACTTGCCATCGGTGCCCGAACACTCCGAGAGTTTGCTCAACATCTCCCTGAACCCCTGAAGATCATCCTCACTCCCGAAACGAATAGGTTCAGGAGCGTGCATCAGACATCAGTCACATCCAAGGTTGCTACAATCCCATGTTCCTTGGGTACCAAGGGAAGCTTCCTAAAGCCGGCCGTCTTTGAAAACGAGGAAAGCTCTGGTGCGCCCTTCCTCATCTCTCTCAGCTTCCTACTCCATTGTCATGGAGAAGTTATTCTTTGCCATGAACAAGGCCTCCAATTACGGCTTCGGGGAACTCCCGAACCAGTTCCCCTTCACCTTGGTCCAACTGGCGCTTTACGAATTCCACTTCAACAATACAACCAGGTGCAAAAACAGGCACTCGAACGAGAACAAAACTCGATGAACCAGAGCACTTCGGTCGAGTTTGAAGTCTTGAAATTGCAAGATGGCTGCATGGAACCGCCGAAGCTGAGTACCACTCAAGCCACGAGCCCTCTTGCTACTCCGCACTCAGCCGCTTGCCATGCAGACTGCTGGCCAGAAACGTGTTCGGGCCAGTTCAACTTTCGAAGAAGAAGACCTTCAACAACATCGAGTCCTTCAGTGCCGCTTCGTCCAATGGTGCGAACAACAGCCTCTTCTGAGTCTGGAAAGCTGGCGTCACCGGCAACAGCCCGGCGACGAACCTGTGAGCTACACCCAGATCTTGGAGGCCATGATCCAAACCAAATGTCAGCACAAGGAGACACATCGAAAGGGATCGAACGCCTATCTCACCAAGGTCACATGCCGCACCTGCAACAAGGTCATCAAGTCCGAGAAGATCGGGAAAAAGGAAGAGGGGAACAAGTCCAAAGCCAGCACGACATCCTCGAGCTCGGCGCCACCATCCCGCCAGGGGATTCCCTATCCGGCGACTCCCCAGACCACCTCGGACGGCACAGATCTGGAGCACCTGACCGACTACCAGGAATTTCAGGAATACTTTCGTTGGAAAAACCAACGACCCCGAAGCTGGAACGGAGGCTTCGAGCTGCCATCAAGAAGGCAACGGCTTTTTGGCGAGAGCTTCAATTGCTGCTGGCTGATACGCCTTTGCAGCACTGGGCTCAGGCCTTAAATGACGAAATTTGCCAGGAGTTCACTATGAATCCAGCCGGCACCAAAAAATCTCGTGAGATTGCTGAAGTCGTGGGGTTAACCGTTAAACAACTTAAGACTGTGGCCGAAGTGTACAATCCTGGCTGCTTTCAGAAAATTACTGGTCGTTTTCAGTTGTCTCCCGGCCGCGCATTCGATTTGAGTCTAGGAGAAGATTTGCTAAACGAAGATAAACAAAACGAAGTCATGCAGTTAACTAAACCAGGACTTGTTTGCATTGCACCACCTTGCAAGATGTACACCCAGCTGCAAAACCTCTCCAAAGAGAAACGTGCCCGATTACCTGACCTTATGAAACGATACTTGAAAAACAAGGCAGAAGTTGATTTTTGCCATTCGGTTGTGCGAACTCTGCGACGACCTTGGGATCAAGTTCATATTTGAACATCCACACGCCGCTTCCTCCTGGAAACACTGTGCCATGGAGCGGCTGCTGGATCGACCGAATGTCATCTACACCAAGGCTGACCAATGCCAGTATGGACTACAGGGTCAGTCAGGACTTCCTCAAAGAAAAAGAACCGGTTTTGCCACGAACTCAGAAGCCATCGCTCAAGCTCTGGGCAAGCTCTGCCCTGGCAACCATGAACACGAAGTCATCATTGGTGGCAACCGGTCTCAACGATCACAGGTATACCCGGAGAAACTCCGATCGGCCATCTTGAAGGCCTACAGCCAGTCCATCAGCGTGGACCATGTGGAAGTGGTCAGCTCCGAGAGCATGCTGGCCGAGAACCACCGGCTGAACTACCTCATGGACACCGAGTTTCGGGCCTTAAAGGACCTACAACGGGGAGTACCTGCTGGTCACACCGAATGCCGGGACCCCGATTCTCGAACTCTTGACGACCCAGATTCTCGCCTACCTGACCTACAGGACTATGTCACGGCCGAGATCTTTGCGAATGAGGAGAACCGAGAACCACACGACCCGGAGAACCAAGAGGACGATGGGGAACTACAACCAGAAGATGAACATGAAGAAGGCGAGACACCGGAGAACTCAGAACAACGATTACCACTACACTCCCGTTTTCCCATGGAACGTCTTCTCCAGCGAGCACACGTCGGCTTGGGCCACCCGACTTCGGATAGATTCGTGAGAATCCTTCGGTACGCGAAGGCCAAACCCGAAGTCATCGAAGCTGCCAAACACCTCCGGTGCAGTGTGTGTCAACGACACTCACAAGTGAAACCTGCTCGGAGAAGTGCACCGCCAAAGGAACTGGCATTCAATGAGTGCGTTGGAGTGGATGTCATCTTCTTACCGACGCTTGGCAGCAGATCACGCCCCGCACTGAATGTCATCGACTGGTCACGCAAATTTCAACTCATGATCCCCATGGACAACAAGAAACCAGGTCACGTCCGAGAAGCTTACAGACATTGGCTCCGTCTATTCGGCCCTCCGAAAAGAATGGCACTGGACCTTTCGCTGAACAAGCAGAACAAGATGGAACCTTTGTTGACCCCTCAGCAGTTGAAGCCCCACATCAAAGAGGCATCACGGAGCGCCATGGCAAGACCTTCAAGTACCCCCTCCAGAAGACCATGGACACCTATAGCTGTGCCGACATGAAGGAATGGGAAGAAATGGTCGACATCACCATGATGACCAAAAATCGAATGATGAACGTTGGAGGTTTCAGTCCCAGCCAGCGGGTGTTAGGCTTCAACCCCTTTCTGCCCGGAGGACTCCTCAATGGAGACGACGGCCATCGAGGACAACAACCCGAAATCAAGGTCGGCGATCTCAGTATCGAACGGTCAATGAAACTTCGAAAGGCTGCAGCACACGCCTTTATAGAAGCAGACGCCAGCAACTCCCTTCGAAGAGCAGTCGCCTCAGGGCCACGACCTGTCCTCGAGTACGACATCGGCGAGATTGTCTACTTCTTCCGGATGGGAGCCGACAAGAAACTGAAGTTCAAACCGTGTTATTGGCATGGACCGGCAAGAATCATTATGATCGACCAGCCCAGTACTATCTGGCTATCGTACCAGTCCCAACTTGTCAAGGCCAGTCCTGAACGAATCAGGAGAGCTTCAATGGAAGAAAACATGGCCATGTCAGGATGGCTGGAAGACCTCGTGAAGCTGAAGAAGGACATCACCACGGAGCCGATTCGAGGTTTCCTGGACCTGTCCGACCAACCGCTCCCAGAGATCCTTGACGATGAGAACAACCATGAAGAGTACACCCCGACCGAACCGGATGAAGCACCTGATCAAGATATTCCAATAGAACCAGGACTACCACCAGGACTCAAAGAACCTCCAGGATATCCAAGACCCGCGAAACGCTATCGAGAGAAAGGACCACAAGATGAACTGGTCTATGATGACAGAGAACCACTTCCTGCAGTACCTGACGACCAACAACCGGGAGAACATCAACAAGATGAAGCCGCTCTCCGACCTCCAGAACCTGAACATGAACGAGAAAAGAGGGCACATGATGAAGAAGAATTGGATGAGCACCCCAGCAAAAGATCCCGACTTGAATATCTTGAAACCTACCTCCTCAAGGTTGAGAACTTGATCAAGGGAAGACAACGAAAAGAAGTTCGATTACAAGAGCTCAATCTCCGCAACCAAAAATGCTTCAAGAACGCCATCGGAAAAGAGATCCAGAACAATATCAACATCGGTGCCTACACCATGGTCAGCCCCGAGGAATCAGCTCGTGTCAGACAAACTATGCCGAACAAAATCATGGAGAGTCGGCTAGTACTCACACCCAAACCGCTGGAACCACATGAAGTGGAAAAAGCCAAAGAGGAAGAAATTCTTCTGGACTGGGATACCGATGAACCATGCAAGGCAAAGGCTCGCCATGTCATGAAAGGCTTCAGCGAAGAAGGCGCTGAAAACATCGAGGCAACGACTCCACAAGTGACCCGAGAAGGTACACTCACTGTCGCCCAACTAGTCTCCAGCTTTCAATGGAGGCTTGGCTTCCTGGACTTCACCCAGGCCTTCCACTCTGGCGACCCGATCGAGAGACTCCTGTATGCCACTCAACCAAGAGAAGGCATTCCAGGCATGAATCCTGGCCAGTTGCTTAAACTGGAAAAGGTCTGCTATGGCCTAACAGATGGACCACTGGCATGGTACAACCACCTCCGGAAGTTCCTCGTTGGCGATCTCCACTACCAACAGTCATTGGCCGACCCGTGCATCTATTACAAGCTCAAGACCAATCTAGAAAATTCTAGAAACAGGAAAGGAACAACTGAGCGGCATCATCGCGGTAGCCACTGACGACCTTCTTCACGGAGGAGACCATGACCATGAAGAGGCCATGAGCAAGATCCAAACCAAGTACAAGCTTGGGAAATTCCAGTATGGCACAGGAAAATTCACCGGCAAACTCTTCACCCAGCACGACGACTACAGCATCACGGTGAACCAAGAAAATTATGTACAGGAGAAACTCTTCGAAATTCACCTCGAGAAAAGCAAGAAGAAAAGAAGATTCTCCTTCTGTGATGACAAAGAAGTGTCAAGTCTCCGAGCCAGTGTCGGAGCCCTCGCATGGTTGGCCAAGGAGAGCAGACCAGACATAGCTGGCAGAGTGGCACTACTTCAACAAGTATTTCCACGACCACGGATCAAGGACATCATTGAGGCCAACTCCATCACCCAGGAGGCCAAGAAATATGCAACGAGTGGCATCCGGATCATGCCCATTGCTCCAGGCAACCTGAGAGTCGGCGTCGCCACTGACGCTTCCTGGTCTAACGCGAGAAGTCAAGACCAGATCGAAAAAGATGGTCCCGATTACTGGGAAGAGAAAACTCAACACTGGATCCGTCATCACTTGGCACCACGAAGAACCTTGTTTCATCCAGGAGCCACACCAGGACCTGACCTTCACGACCTGCAACCAGGACGACGGACAGTGAACAACCTCGGAAACACCAAGGAGGATGACTGGACAAGAGGAAACAGCACCACCACTTGGGATTCCCAACCATGGACTGGACAAACCATATTCACCAAGCAACTTCCCGGCCATGAATTGGAACACTCCCACATCAGCGACTGCTTCTTGAAGATGCTGAACTGTAGCAGTCAAGGCGGCTATGTCCTCATGTTCTACGACAAGCGCATGGAGAGCGAAAGCCGACCACATATGGTCTCAGTGACCTCATGGAAGTCTTCAAGGTTGAAAAGAAAAACAGTAAACACTCTCAGTGCGGAATGCCAAGCATTGATTCAAGGAATCGGCCAAGTCCATTGGCACAGGTACCTCCTGTTAGAGCTTCTTGGAGCCCCCATGTCCACCACAGACTGGGAAAGACATCTGGCATCCATTCCCTATGTGTCAGTGGTTGATTCCCGTTCCCTCTACGATTGCATCAACAAAGCTGGTTTGCACCTACGCCCAAGTCGAAGACAAAAGAACAGCCATCGATGTCGCCATCCTCAAGGATGATCTCTGCCGGTCTGGCGGAACACAGCTGAGGTGGGTAGCAGGAGACAACATGGTTGCTGACCCCCTTACTAAACGTATGTGTTCCGACTTCCTTCGAATGATTTGCAACACCGGCATGTGGTCACTCTCAGAAGACGGTCACGAAAGACAGTGTACAGAGCATGATGTCTTGATCGTCTCGCTTTGCCGCTAAGAAGTTGTGCCGGTGTGAAATTGTGATCCACCGGCATCGCTCGACCCAAGACCAAGCTAGGAACCTGTACTCCAAATGGGGGTTACGTGTCCGCTGAAAAGGGAGTCCGTTCTTGCTTGGGGGCTTGCTGCGGTTTTTGGGATTCACAGACTCTCATTATATAGGCCTAGTGGCCAGAAAGGTCAGGAACCAATGCCATTAGACCTAGCTTCATAACAAGTTGAAGGTGGGGTGGAGAACGGTGCTCTGAATAAAATATCTTAAGGTGTAATCCGTGGGTCCGGGATTCAATAGATATATATATATAATTCAATGAATTCCATTGATCTGCAAGAAGCGTAGCACACCACTATTTCGAAAACAGCCAAGTTTCTATGCATAGGAGCCGGTGGGGTCGCGTGAGTGCCTGCAAAACTGCCCAAGCAACACAACAACTGGACTTCCCCATGAATTGCTTGTTCAGCCAAAGTATCGCCGCAAATTATATATCCCAAATGTATGCTGGTTGTTTTGAAGTACACCAGCGACAAAAGGCTGGTACGGCCCGGCATGTCCGCACGAACGAAGCAAAGGCCCGCAAATTCCGGGTGAACAGTGATCTGCATCGGCACCAACATGCATCAAGAGCAGCAGGTGCAGCTTCGGTCATCTTTGCTCTTGGCCCAGGAATGAGATGCCCAGAAGTGGCTTGCAAATAGCCTCTGCTTTTAGATTTGGGCCCGGCAAAACGGACTCCTAGGTTGGCAGCCTGCAGTCTACCCTAAGCAAAATTGAGGTCCTGCCAGTGAATCCACTGATCACAAAGCCTCAATCATCCTCAATCAAAGGTCACCTGCTGCATTATTTATTGCACCATCACTTGTAGAAGGGGCTAGCGGCTAGGCGGCTAGATGCAACTGCCTACAGAAAACTTACACATACCACTGCATCTCTCTCCCGCTTTTGTGCACACATGGACAGTTGTAAGTCACTGAAAGACTGGCAGGGATGAGATACAGCATGCAGCTAAAACAAACTGTAACTAGTGTGCATATGACAATAATTATATGGATTGCACGCAGCATGTCGTTGAGTCAAATGGCTCGCACCCCTGCCTAGCAGGCATATGATCTTGTCCAAGGTAGGAAGCTTGTGAAGATCATAGTGCTTGTTGTTCGCGAGGCATGCCTGGGCCCAGAAAGAGGATGTTTGACAAACACACTACTTGAGTTTCAAGGCCAGGTTCTCTTTTGCGGCTGCAAGCGACCAAGTTGCTGCAATCATGCCATCAGCGTGACCGCATCTGGAGCAATACATGTTTCCCCAGCCGCTCTGAGGTTCAACCTTGCACTCAGAGCAAGCTGCCTGGAAGCATGTGACAAGCACAGAACCACGAGCGTTCCGTGAACTCAGGCCAACAGCGCAGTGTGACATGAGATCAGTTCTGTCGTGTTTCCCCGTTCTCACCACGACTGGCCACATGAGCGAACATAAATATATACATGTCAAATCAAATCCATCTCTTATCATGTGCCGCACAATTGAGCAAAGTAATTAGGAGGCAGAATCCCGGAATACCTCGTGGTTCGTCAAAATTGTTGGGGAACTCATCCGAATTTGTCAAAACACTTCATTTCGCTTCGCCTGCCGCTCGTAGTTCTTACCAGCCACGACAGGCCGCATGGTCGGCAGGTGATGGAAGAGGTCCGGACGCTCACACTGAGCAAAGCGGAGGTCGGCGAAGCGACTTGGGTGTCCTCTCTCCCAACTTCGGGCAAAACAGGATGCCGGTTACCGCGATTTCAGGGTAAATAGCGCCAACCCGCGAAAGGATATATGGATCCCCATGCACCACCTACTCAGAAGTCACTGTAAATCCACTGGCTTCAAGGCTGCAGACCTCGGTGTTCCCCAGCTTGAACATCTCACCCAGCTTCAGTGAGCCACACGATCCAAGATACTTGTCCGAGCTCATGTGAAGCTCTTGAGTTCTCTCTTCCTCTCTCTCTGTCTGTCTCTTTCTCTCTCGCCTTGATTCGATCAAGGTTGGAGACTTCGGACCATGGATTGTCTTCTTGCTCCTTGCGATGGTTGATGGCATCTGACATGAAAAGAAGCAAAGAGGAAGACACAGAGCGAGTCCACTGACAACCAGGAGGAGGAGGGGACGTCCAACTCCATTCAGCTGTCGAAAGTGCCCTTCCACCCTTCGACGATGTGGCGCTCACAAACACTAACCACTTGCAAGATCTTAGGGACCCTTTTGCAACACCCTTCTCCTCTCCATTCTTTGGCTTGTAACCTCGGCTCCAATGGTTTCGGCTTTTCGATTGGCTACGACAGGCTCCAAAAACTGCGGGACTGGCGATTGCGCAAACAGCTTTTGAATTGGGAGCATAGAGTAGTTTTGGACAGTCTGGTCCTCCTTGCTGACAATTAATCTGCCAAAAAAAACGGTCTATGTCACTGTTCTGACTGGATTAAAGTGCACAACGCCGCAGTCAGGCCGTTTGACTGCTAAAACATGCTCACGACATCTGCATCCTAAACAGTCTCACGCAGGTGAAACGCACCTATACGTGCCACTGACTGGGAAGCCGGGCCCTGGTTACCTTGGTAAGGCCGCCACTCACGACGTCATAATCAGAGGTGTTGAACAAAAAACGGAGTGGCTGAAGGCTTTATACCCAGCCGACGTGTCACAAGCATAGAGCCAATCTGCCAATAGGCATCAGTAGGCAAATAGAAGGTGGTCCCACATAGAATGAAAATAACACTTCATGTATGCCGAGTAGCGGAACTCCTCCATAACCTTGTCCAAGGGTCTCCTGCTGATCAAGTCAACCAATCAGTCGGCGTAGCGGGATTGAATGATATGAACTCTATCATCAAGTCATTGCAATTTTGTGTGTGTGACCCATGGAGTCAC